TCTTCAACTCTGCCGAACATAGCTGCACTGCGTGCTTCTTGCCCCCACAGAAATTGAAGTATGACTTTAGTTGAATAAGCAATTTCTGAACTTCTTCAAAATAGATATCCGAAACACAGGGCCAACTTAAGGCAATGCTTCTGGGATACAAGTCTTACTGAAGATTGACTGTCTGAAAGTTGGATATCCGAAACACAGGGCCAACTGAAGGCAATGCTTCTGGGATACAAGTCTTACTGAAGATTGTCTGAAAGTTGGATATCCGAAACACAGGGCCAACTGAAGGCAATGCTTGGGATATTAGCTTTCTGGGACTAACCTCTTTAGAACAAGTCTTACTGAAATTTGACTTCAGCTGAAAGACCAGCGTTCTTAAAGAAGACGTATATCCGAAACACAGGGCCAACTTAAGGCAATGTTTCGGATAATGGCTCTCTGGGATACAAGGCTCAGTTAAGGCAATATCCCAGGATTGTCCATGGACTCATGTCTTTGGAGAACAGGTCTTACTGATGTTTGATTTCAGCTGAAAGACCAGTGTTCTTTAAAAAGACTGAGTTTTGTAAGCCATCTGAAACCCAGTTACCCGAAGGCGAAGGTTTCAGACGAGGCTGATTTAAAAAGGCTGTTATCCTTGATTTTCTGTCTATCTTTGAAAAATGGATACCCGAAACACAGGGCCAACTTAAGGCAATGTTTCGGATAATGGCTCTCTGGGATACAAGGCTCAGTTAAGGCAATATCCCAGAATTGTCCATGGACTCATGTCTTTGGAGAACAAGTCTTACTGAAGTTTGACTTCAGCTGAAAGACCAGTGTTCTTTAAAAAGACTGAGTTTTGTAAGCCATCTGAAACCCAGTTACCCGAAGGCGAAGGTTTCAGACGAGGCTGATTTAAAAATTTTCAACTGTTGCTGTTATCCTTGATTTTCTGGCTATCTTTGAAAAATGGATACCCGAAACACAGGGCCAACTTAAGGCAATGTTTCGGATAATGGCTCTCTGGGATACAAGGCTCAGTTAAGGCAATATCCCAGAATTGTCCATGGACTCATGTCTTTGGAGAACAAGTCTTACTGAAGTTTGACTTCAGCTGAAAGACCGGTGTTCTTTAAAAAGACAGGTTTTGTCAGCAATCTGAAACCCAGTTACCCAAAGGCGAAGGCTTCAGACGAGGCTGAATAAAAAACCCTCAAAGAGTAGATAGAACAAAGAAAATTTTGAAAGGATAAACAGTTGTAAATTTTATATAAATGGCGGCTCCAAGGCCTGTCATTAGTTCAAAATGTACTTACAAAGATTGTTCTGCCCCGAAGGGTTTACACATGGTATTTTTTCAGTACATCAGCATTCCAGTGATTCTTCAACTCAGTTCCATCCAACTGCCGAAGTCGGTATGTCCCTGGCTGAAGCTCATCATAAATTTCATAAGGTCCCTCCCATGTAGCTGAGAGCTTCCCATGGATTCGGCCTTTCTGAACTGCAGCAGCATTCCGAAGGACAAGATCCCCAATTTTGAGAGGCCTTGCATGGACCCTTCAGTTATGGGAGATGAGGTCTGAACTTATCCCGGGCATATCAGCTGCCGAGAAAGCAAACACATCTCTGTTATCCCGCAGGAGCTGAATAAGTTCACAACGGGTGTTAGGATCAAGGTCCATCCCGATTGTTACACATTTCTCAGCATCTCCTTCGGCCAACTCTGCTGTTTCAGTCTGTTGGTCCATGTCCATTGCTGATGGACTGGACTCTTCAGAATCTGGTCTGCTGCCAATGTCAGCAGGTGTCCCAGTCTTTGTGTTCTTCGGCTGGCTCTCTGAGTCTTTCGGCTCAGATGAAGAGTCAACCTTTTCCCTTTCGGGACCTTTTTCTCTGGGCACTGATCCTTGGGCCGAAGCACTTAGGCCTTTCGGCTTTTTTGTGCTTGGCTCTCTTTCTTTTTCTTTCTCCTCCTCATCCTTGTCGTTATCTGGGCGACTACTGGATGGCTTGAGGTAGTTGCACCTTCGGGCGTCCTTCTGGTTGCCCTGTATCCTTTCGGGGAAGCCGGCGTCTGAGACATAAATCATCAGCTGATGATAAGTTGAGACGACCCCTTGGATCTCGTGAATTATGGGTCTCCCCAAAATCACGTTGTACACTGAAGGAGCGTCGATGACCAAAAACTCAATCATGACGTTCCGGGCTGCCTCATCGCAACCGATGGTGACAGGAAGTGTCACCTTCCCATCTGGATAAGTTGAAGCCCCATTGAACCCGGATACCGGATAGGGTACCGGCGTAAGGTGCTTGGGCTTCAGCTTAATTTGGTTGTAGGCCTTTCGGAACAGAATGTTTGCTCCGCTGCCACCGTCAACAAGGACCTTACTGACGTCGTGGTTGGCCACCGTGGCGATGATCACCAACGGATCCTCGTGAGGGAACGTAATCCCCCGGCAGTCGGCGGCTGTGAACGTCATGTTCGGCACCGGCGACTGGGGAGATTGAATGTCAGCGTTGTTCACCTGGTGAGTCAAAGCTCTAAGGTGACGCTTGTGCTCCCTCCGAGAGTATATTCCTCCCGAGATAACATTGATCGGAGGGAATTTCCCCTCCGGTTTTTTACTGTTTTTCCGGGGGAAATCAAGGTCCTGCCGAGGGTCCTTTGCTAACCTTTCGGATTCTTTTTTCTCGCGGTGATCCGCGATGTATTTTTTCAAGTATCCCTTCCGGACCATGTCTTCTATCTGGTCCTTCAGCTGGATACACTCTTCAGTGTTGTGGCCCGAAGACTCGTGGAACTCACACCACTGATTTTTATTTTTTCGCTGATACCACTCTGGGAGTGGTCTCGGCTTTCGGTAACTCTGCTCCTCCTTCGTCACACTGTAAATTTTGGCGCGTGGAAGAGAGAGCGGAGTGTAGGACTCGTATCTGCCTGTGTATGAGGCAAACCTGTCCTTCTTTAGGTCGCTGGCCGAAGATGGCTCCGAGGCCTTTGATTTTCCCTTTGCCTTATGGCCTTGGCCTTCAGACAAGGGTATTTGCCTCTGTTTCCCTCCCCCGGATTGAGGTTGGGTTTTTGCTTTATTCCATTCTTCGGCTCGGATGAACTTATCCGAAGCACTAAGAGCTTCCTCCAAGGTCTGCGGGGTATGCATGACCATGAAGTCTAGGAATTTTCCTGGCTGAAGGCCATTCTGCATTGCAAAAACAGCTAGCCCCTGGTCCAGCTGAGAGACGCTTGATGACTCGTTACTGAAACGGGTCAGGTAGTCTCGGAGGCTTTCGGTTTCCCCCTGTTGCAGACCCATGAGCTCTGCGGTAGTCTTTTCTCGGCGGTTTGCCGTGGAAAACTTGCTCCTGAACTTGGAGGACAGATCATCCCAACCTGTTATGGAGCCTTGCCTTACTCCCTTGGAGATCCACGCTTGCGCGACCCCCTTGAGAGTGGTTGGGAAATATTTGCACCAAGTTGCCTCGGATCTGGGGCAAAGATGCATATGAGCCTCATACGAGGCCACGTGGTCCTTCGGATCCGTGGTCCCGTCATATGTGATATGCGACGGTATTTTAACCGTGGGTACGCGCTCTTCTAGTATCCATTGCTCGAATGGTGAACTAGCGGGAAGCATAATGGCCTTGCCCTTGTTCCTGGCCGAAGGGACCGCGCTCCGCCCTCTCAGAGAGGTAGGAGTGGTTTTCGTCCCTGGCTGGGAAGTCTGGGCCTCGGCTGCAGGGAACGTGAGGCGACTACGCACGCTCGGTTCCTGGCCGCCGAGTCGGTCAAGGACGCTTCTGCGAGCAGTCTCAGGTTCCCGGCGAGTAGATTCTGGCCGAGAAGCTGAGCTGCTGCTCTTATGCGCTGCTGGTCTTGAGGATGAGGATCCTTTAAATAATTGAGAGTTCTTCTTCCTCTGTTTTTCATTTTTCCAAGAATCCTCCTCCCACTCTTCCAGTTCCCGGAAGGAAGGAAGCTTCCCACCGTCATGGTCTAACTTCCTCCGCTGATGCCGGGTATGCGGAGGAGTTCGATCACGAGGCGGTGGCATATTCTGTGCCCTCATTGCCTCCATGAGTACTGCCAGCGCTCTTGCCACCTCCTCCGAACTGGGCCCCGTCAAAGGGGTCCCCGGCCGAGTGTGGTAATGAGGCCGTGCAGCCGATGGTTGGCTTTGGGACACCGAATATGTCCTATGATCAGACTGACCCCTGCTAGACCGAGAGTGGTCCGGCCTATATTGGGAGTCATGCATTATAGGAGATAGGGAATCCTCCTTGTGTGATCCTCCCCCCGAGCCGGCACCCTTGGGAGAGTTCCGGTCCGGCGAGGGCGATGGTGTAGGGGTTTTAGGCTTTTCGCCCGCTCCTTGACGGAGGCTTTTGCTCTTGCGGTTCTTAGCCATGGCTGCTAAGATAATTGCAAGATGATCTTGGTTAGGAATTTGGCTTAAAGATTTTTGAAAGTCTTCCCCACAGACGGCGCCAAATTGTTTCGGTTGAAAACAATGGGACCTTGCCGAAGGTCCACTAAAATGGAGAAGACTGGATTCGATCCAAGCTGTGTTGGGCCGAAGGTTTCCTGCACAGTGAACACACGTAAACTAGCCTCGGGGGTGTTTCCGAGGAAGGCCCCTCCGATGCTAAAGTCAGTACAATGTGTAAAAAGGAAGACACTATGCAAGAGAGTTTGTAGCTTGAGGCTTTTGTGGAGTATTTCTCAATGCAAGAATGAGCATATGAGTTGGAATAATCCGTGTATGAGATAATGTATGTGATGATGCATGTGTTGTTGTGTCTGATAGTGTATATGATGTTATGAGATGTCTTATGTAAGAATATGACTCTCTCCTTGAATGTGTTAATATGAGGGCTTTTATACCTCATCATATTTGGAGAGGTTGGGCTTTAGCCCAATTGGCTTACTTTGTGGGCTGACTTTTGACTTTTGAGCAATTGGAGAGTTGAACCTTGACCTTGGGCTTTTAATTGGATCATTTAGTGCTCAGGCCCAATTTTGACTAAATTGGACCCAAACAATAAGTATCATTAAGACTGATTTTACCACCCTTAAAAATGGACATACATCGACGATCGTCCTCGGGGTAGGGACATGGCTCACCGTTAGGGTCACGGTACGCACCTTGATGTTTCATACCGGACCAGCTTGCAATCCAGTGATAGACATATTGGCCTACACCGGCTAACTTTAGCCAACCCTTAGGAAAAAACTCCATGACACTACTATTCCTGTCCATTAGGAACATGTTGGTTAATTGGGCTCCATGAGTTGATACCAAAATATCTGTTATGCTCATCAATTCAACCTGTCATCATCAAAATCAAGGCATACATAATTAATTAGCATTGATCAATCATATTAAATTTTGCTTGTTTTATTAATTAGCATTGATCAGTCATATTAAATTAGTATAGAAATAAAATGAAGTATATATCTCCATTATATACTTCATTTTATTTCTATACTTACAAATTGTATCACACCACTTTGACACACACTTTAAAGAAGATATTAAACTAGATAAATATTGTACTAAAACGGTGTGTTACAAGCTAATTAAGTATTGAAAGCAAGAGGAAATATGTATACATAGCTATGTAAGTCATGTAAGATCTCTATAATCATGACAAATAAGTACTTCTTGTTGCGTGGTTTATTATTGTGTTAGATCCCACTTCATATTAAGGCTATTACCTACTGTGTAAACCAAATTCTAACTTTAATTAATAGATTGATCATTTATGGTTGATAACTTGTATGATATCTCAACTATTTTAGAGTGCTCCAATAAAAAAAAGTGCCGTGAATAAGAAACCTATGTCACTTCCAATTAATCCTAGCTCTATGGCAAAGTATATCAAGTGGCGGATTCACTAAAGTACATGGGATATCGGCAAACACTCCATTAAACACTGTATAATGTTCTTTTTAAAATTAAAGTGATCTATTGTCACTTGACATTCCATGAACATAATATCGACACTCTGTCTTCAAAATCCTGTCCCCACCTTTTCACCTATTGAACAATTACAATCACATTTGCTATTGTATAATGCTCGAGAAAACTGCCATCATTCTTATAATATGAAACTGCAATTTATAATCAAACTTTATGCAAGATACCCCCCTCTAGATTAAATTCAGCAATCGAACCCTTTTTTTTTTTTGAGATTGTAACTTTGCAAGGCATTGGACTTGTAAATACACTACTTCTATGGCTCTATGCCTCTATCCCTAGATAATCAACGTTAAATTTTAATAAATAGCGTAATAATATAATTAACAACTACCCTACCCGTCCCCAAGTAATTGGAAATAATTGCGACTAGAGGTATTTATATAGAGAGGACTAACCTGTTGACAAAAGGTGAGATTATTAGAGTAAGCTATGAATAATTGGCAATGGGTAAACTTGTCACATTCAGTTTTAAAGAGGTCAATAACAGCCGCATCATTTGTGAAAGATCTAGCCCCAGTCCTCATAAATAGAGTCATCCCAATTTCTTCTGGCCTACGATCAAGGCTTATATTACAAAACATCCTTGCTTTGCACCTTATTAGATCATATGTCTCCATCCTTCTTTGCCTTGACATCCCTCCCTCGTTATGCCTCATTACCACCGCCTCTTCGAAGCATACCGGTTGCTCGTCTTCTACCCCGTGAAACCTATTAATTCATCATCAAATCCATACAAAACAATTTTATTAGATAATGAACACGTTATATGATCATTTTTAGTAGTTAGTAGCTAGATAGTTATACTCTATAATTAATTAAAACTTCTTCAATTTCACATCAATTTGGCTCGACCCTAATTGGGTTGGGCTTCAACACAAACATTTTGACTTAAGCCAATGTCCAATAACATATAGATCATTTTAGCTTTTGGCCTAATTCGGCCCAATTTAGGCTAATTAAATAACGTGCAGTTCTGCATTTTAAGATTGCGACTTTGCTCATGAAAATATGAAATCATGTTGAATCAATAATAAAGAATTAATATACGCAATTTAAATAAACTTACACTTCGATATTGATTGGCCCATCAAAAGTGGCTTGCAACACCAACCTTAGCCAAAGACCCATCTTAGCCCTAAGTTCACCCCAATGGTACAAGACCCATCTAGAAGGCAATTTGCACCCATTTTTCATGTGCCAGCTACAAACGGAAATACGGCGGACAAACCATGCCATATATTATCATAGTTATAATGATTATATGACACAAACGTTAGGCCTTTCATAAGGGTGGCATTATGGGGTAACGCTTCCGGCCATGCTAGTGCATAATAATTCCATGACCCATCATGTGTGTCATGACCCTTTATGCATAGGATCCTTCCCTTCGAGTCATTTGATGGGAACTTTTGGTATTGCACGTCGCCTTCCTCGTCGCGTGTGTCGTACATGGAACTCATGAACCATGTGTGCCCTTGGGCGGCTGTGCTCGAGTATCTTAAGTCCTTCAAGGGGAGGAATGTCACCGCGTGTTTGAGCTTCTCTTGTTCATCGTTCGTTGAATTTTGATTTCCTAAGGGGGAGGAGGAGGAGGGGGAGCCAACCTTCTTGAAGGACTCAATCGACGGAGGGAATTGAAGAGAAGGAATTTGAAAGAGAAGAAATATGGTTAAACATACGAGTAAGATGATAATAGAATGTTTTGGTGAATAGTTGAAAGATAAGTTGTTGTGCTTGCTTTTAGGGTTGTAATATTTAGGTACCAAGGGAGGAATATGAATATTAGAGGTATGTGTGTGTCTTTCACTAGTTTGTGGAAAATTTTCCATGGCGGCTTAGCTAGGCACATACATTAAGATCCCGGATTTGTTCTCACTTATGCGCACCCTAGATCATCGCCCTCACATTTTGTATATGTGTGTATGCTAAAGTGAGGAAGAAGCTTTGCTAATGAAAGTATGCATAACGTGTAGTAAGAGCAAATTAGGGGTGGTTGTTAATACATTCTTCAATTTTCGAGGGTGTACATGTGGTTAATATAGCACTACTCACCCAAAACTAGCGAAAGCAAATGGTAAAGTTCATGTGCTAGCTAGCAAACCTCGAGGAAATTCTGCAATTGCCTTACTTCTTACGGAAGTATATACTTTATAACTTATCAACTTGTTAAGAATTAGAGGGTGTAAAATAGATTTATCGTGATATGAACCTAACTAAATTTGTGTTTACTTTCTTGCATTGACTTTTTGGTGCTACTTTACTGCATAATGAAGTATAAACGTTGTTGTCATAAAGTTTTGAATTCTTTCCATTAGTTCGTAGAGAGAGTCAGATAACCACAATTGATATTGATGTAAACACGATTTGATCACACGGCTTTAGTATAACTCTCAATACTTTAACCAGGTGATACTCATCGTTTTACCCAAAAAAAAAAAAAAAAAAGAACTAAAAAATGGGATTGGCCTAATTTAGTTGTTCTTAGTTGGATTAGGCCGGCAATGCAACACTCTTGCGACCTTGCCCAAAAAAGTAAGACAAATAGTTAGGCCCAGGGGTGAGCAAAAATTCCGGGTACCTAAAATTGGAATTGAAACCGCCGGTTAGAACCAGCGGGTCCGAAATCGGAATTGAACCTGTTGGTTCCAATTCCGGGTAATAAATCAAGGATCCGGTTACAACCGATTTTAATTCCAACTCTCAATTTTTTGGACCCGGTACTCGGTTACCTAATATGTATTAAATTAAATATATTTTAAAACAAAAATATGTTGAATGTATCTATTTAGTAAAATCAAAAATAATATTATTAATACCTAACATAAAATAAAATAGTTTCATTCATATATAAATATAAGTATTAAACGCTAAAAATGAAAATAAATTAAAACAAGTATTATAATTTGTATTAAATTTTAACAATTATGTACATAAGTAGGCTTACAAAGTTGATCATGCTCATATGCTTATATTTTAGAACCCGGTTGAAGTGGTTCCAATTCCAATTTCGAATTTTAAGACCTGGTCCCAACCAATTCCGAATCCGATTCATAAAATTTTCACCGGATACCCGATTTGCTCACCCCTAGTTAAGCCTTATTAGCTACATTTTCATGAAATAAGTCCAATAGTTGAAAGTTTTTGTTTCAAAATTTCTTAGCTCAATTTTTAGTTAGGCCTAAAGCACTAAGCCAATAACATATTTGGGGCATCGACAGCTTTGTTATTGTGTATTTGTGTTAGAGGTTAGAGCTTTGTTGTTGTTCAATTTTGAGTAATTCAATTATACTTAATCAAAAAGTTGCTGGCCTGGAAAAGATTTGTCAATGGGAATTGTTTAATATTGCATGAAATTAATCTCATTAGTTGTATGTGATAACATGTTCATAATGTACACAAAAATAAATTCATCAACTAAAATGTGAATGTAATGATTTTATGTTAAAACAATGTACATAATTTATTTTAGATGGACCAAATTGATATGCTATAAGCCTATCAATAGATATATCTTGAGATTTGTAGTATTCATGAGTATAAAGTCAACCCTCATGTAACTTTGAGTGATGTACATCTAACGGTTGGTTTTATTCAAATATAGGAAAAGGGCCCATTGATAGTGTTAGGAAATAAGGGTGTAATTGTGTTTGATTAATGCGGAACAAGTCAATGAAAAATAAGAATGAGAAAAAGCAATAAAGAAGATAAACAAAGAACACAAGAATATACGTGGTTCGGTGGGGGATTCGAGAGATTCTTCACTATAATGGAGAAAAAACAAGAGAATATACAAGGAGTCCTAAATCTAATGGCTCAAAAGGTATGATCGAATTGATCAACTAAAGGGTCCTTTTATAACATAATTTAAGGAAACCCTAATTAAACCCTAAAATTGTTCCCCAAATATACTCAAATAGCCGTCATAGAAAAGATATAATTTTAGGAAAATTATCCCTAAAATAATTAAGCTAAAACCGGACCAAAAAACTGAAATTTTGACTAGGCATGGGCGTGCCTCTTTTAGGCACGGGCGTGCTTGGTCGCGTACTTCGTCAGCATATTTCCAGCAGCGCCAGTTCTTCATAAAACGATCATAATTTTCTCATTTCTTATCGGAATTGGGCATATGACCTATCGTTGGAAAGATTTTGAACCAAGATATCACCTCCAACTTGAATCACCTCAAAATCACTTATAGTTTGAGAGATATTGCATTCAAAGTCAGTCCTACTAGATTTCGAGTCACACTTTTAACAGATAGTTGATATTTGACCTACTTACAATCAAATAGCACAATATTGCACTAATGTAGTCGTACACTCATACCCTCAATTTAATAATAACTTATGTTATATTTCTTAAATGTTATTTTTACTTATAAGTACTTGTGTTAACATCAAGTTAAAGGCATATATACTATCAAAAGCAAGCCCTAACAACCAAAATTTTCCTTCATTTCTTCAATTTATAAAATGTGAGAGAATGTGCAACCATACTATCAAAAGCAAGCCCTAACAGCCAAAATTTTCCTTCATTTCTTCAGTTTATGAAATGTGAGAGAATGTGCAACCATACTATCAAAAGCAACATTTTAAGTTGGGTTACTTGAATTGCAGCAACCATAATGGTCTCAAACATATGTATCTAAACAACGATTAACGGAAACTAAATAGACAATCAGAGCAAGTCAAGTATAGTGCTACCAAATAGAATTTTCCAAAAAAATAATATTAAAATTATTATGCATTAACAAATTACGTGAAATTATTTATAATATAACAATATATATGTACCTACGTAAATATTATATTGCACATTGTTAACTCATATAATTATGTGTATTGATATATTACGTCATTATCTAACGCTTTAAGTTCAATAGGTATAAAATTTTGGAACAATACGGTATTACGTTTGGAACAAAATTCCAGACTGACAAATTTTGAACAATATTAATAGCATATCCGTATATAATGTTGCGGTTTAAATAATGAGGCGGTTTTTCTCCACTAAATTCTCCACTTCTCCACTAATTTCATTGCAGCAGTAGCATTTTCGTCCCTTTGAATTCCTATATTCCCACTTCCCCATCACTTGTCCCTTATTTGAATTCTATTTCTTCTTCTTCAAATTCTCCACTAATTAATCGCATTTTCGTCGCATTTTCAATTTTCCATGGATTCTTCCATAATTGCTCCACCAAAAAATTCTGTTGTTTCCAAATTTAAGTAAGTCACAATTTCATTAATCATTTTCAAATTTCCATGGATTCTTCCAGAATTGTTTTGAAATAATCATTTTGTTGTATACAGGGAAAGGATTGAAAAGGAGGCAAGACAACAAATTCACAATGAGTAAGTAATGTTTCAAGCGAATACGTTGTTCCTAACTTAAATGCTCATTGGTCATAAAACATACATGTAATGTTCTAATTTTTATATCCTATTGTTCAATTTAGGGTTTTTAGGGTTCTTCGAAGTTGGATAATTGAACTATTGGAGTCTAGTTTGATAATTGAGTTAATAAGGTTAGATTTTGACAATCTAGTGTTATTGTCAAATAGTGGTGGGAAGGGGCAAGTGGTGGTGGGAAGACTGGGCAATTCAACACATTAGGCTTAGAAATCCATTTATATGCCTATTGTTCCTGCCTGATATTCCTAATTTTTATGCCTAATGTTCCTAATTTATATGCCTATTGTTCCTAATTTATATGCCTATTGTTCTTTCTTAATGAACAGTCAAAGAAAGCAGCAAAAAAGCAGAAGCAGATGAAAGAACAGTCAACAAAACAACAGTCAAGAAAGCAGAAGCAGATGAGAGAACAGTCAACTAAACAAGGAAAACTTGCATTGAGACAGAGACACACCACCAATAGGTTTATAAAAAAGGTTTTAAAAGACCTTCCGCCTCAACATAAGAAAGCTATCAATGAGTTGGGGTTTGGAGGATTCCTTCACTTAAGTTTAGATGGACACCTACGTTCACCATTCATGACAAAATAATATTAAAATTATTATGCATTAACAAATTACGTGAAATTATTTATAATATAACAAATTATGTGTAACTACGTAAATATTACATTGCACATTGTTAACTCATATAATTATGTGTATTGATATATTACATCATTATCTAACGCTTCAAGTTCAAAATCTATCTTCTTCTCAGCTGAAACTTATAGAGCCAAGACAAAATTTTAATATTGATAATAAAGAGGTCTCTGATGAAGAGAGAAAAAAGAGAGAAGACAACTCACGATTTTTAAGTCAATGGAGGAGTCAGTTTGGGCT